GACACTTCTGCTTAGAATTGGGCTGATATAATTCTGTGTCCAGAATCCAACAGCCTAAATAATACCTGTACATCTAAATATTGAGAGGTGGGAATCATCCATAAACCACAATTATTATGTACATCAAGTTCTATTACAAAGGGAACAATAAAAATTAAAGGCTTTGTTTGGTGTTTGAGTATTTTGAATACAATTCCAGCTAAACCAAAAGCTTACTATTTTCCCAGTTTGCCTGGACAAGCTGGCAGCCTGTTTCTCCAGGCAAAGCAAGAAGAAAAGCTTTTTGTTCCTATTCACACCTGAATCAATAAGCTGTTGGCTTAATCCAAGAAGAGTCAGAAAAATATAGGTTTGGGACTTTTTATTGTTGCTCCGGTAGCCAGAATGATCAGGATTAGTTTTAGATGCAGGCATTGTCCTGAAACAATTTTACTCACAGTCAACACAGTCAGAACAAACTTTCCTATGTTTTCCCACAGCATTTAAACAACATAGAATTAAATAAATAATATCTGATCAGATACTTCCTCTTTATTTTGACAGCAGTCTTTCATGAGTTTGCCATTTATTTATTTATTTATTTCAACCAGCAGACAACCAGATGGTTAAGTTAATTCTGTACATGTTATAACACCGGGAAATCTTCCTGGCATGTTAATTTGCCTTAGGAATAGACTAAATGAATCTTCCATTTTCACAGGTTGTCACCACAGCTTTATATCTGATAAGCCACAATGCCAGCCCTTATCCCATTCAGTTGGAAACTCAGAATATGCTGTGTAAAGCCTTAAATTAAATGATACCCTCCAAGAAACAGGATGTCATGTTCTTATTACCCTTGGCATTCAACCTGCTCCCACAAACCTATTACCTTCCTTTCCGGCAGCCAGTTTCACTTAAGATGCAACCACACTCAGATATATTCAATTACTATTTAAAGGCGATGACATATCCATTTATGATGTCCTTTCATTCTTTACAATTACTTCTAGTGCAGATTATTTATTATTCTTTTTAACGCTAAATGTGTATTATTGACAATAGATGGGAAAAGGAAGCATTGATCTGGCAGAAAGTTGTTAATGTAGACAGCTTTCATAACTAAATTGGCTGGCTTGGGAATGAGAAAGCTTATTTTCCTGACAAGAATTTATCTCCTGTTTTAGAAAGTAATTTATAATCAAATCCGGTGCAAGGTTGATACTATTATTTATTAAAAGCTACTTTGGCTTTGGCTTTTTTTTTTTTTTTGGTAACATTTATTTTTACTTGCTTTGCAGAGTCTGATTAAATATATTTGTTATAATTACTAAAACAATTCCTCCTCCTCCTCCTCAACATATCTACATTTACAAAGGAATTTTGCACAATATGATTTCTCTATAAATTATTCTTCTGGTATTCAATTCAGTTTATTGTAGTCATAGACCAGAGACCATTATGGTATTATATCAGGGGTGAAATGCTACCAGTTCAGGGCGGTTTCAACCAGTAGTGAAAATGCTACTGGTTTGCCCGAACCGGTAGTAAAAAAATGCTTTAAAAAGTTTTTAAAAACCGTTCTAATGATCAGCTGTGACAATCAGATGTGCCACGCAATCCTTGGAACCTTTTTTAAAAAAACTTTTTAAAGCATTTTTTACTATCTATTGCCCGAACCAGTATTTTTGTATAAAATGTGATAGTTTGCTTTTGAACTCTCTGTGATTCTGTGTGGTTCCTGCTTGTTGCAGGGGCCATTTTGTATGAAGTCCAGCTGCTTTTGCATTGTGTGTGAGTCAGTTGTGTAGCTTTTGTGTTATTTTTGTGTAAAGTGTGACAGTTGGCTTTCCCTGTCACATGGCCATCAAGCCACACCCACCCAGTCACATGACCACCAAACCATGACCACCAAGCCACACTCACAGAACCAGTAGGGATTTTTTTTTAATTTCACCACTGTATTATAGGATGTATATTTTAATTATTATGTAGAAGAGTCAAATTCAATTCAAATTATGCTGGATTGCTTCTTATTTATAGTTTGGTAAAAAATCTGATCACTGGAGAAGCTTGCCTCTAGGAAGTCTAGTGATCCATAGACAAGAATCCATGAAAACATCTCCCTAACCAATTATGAACTCTATGAAGATAGAAGTGTTTATTCCAAAAAACAAAGGAGTAAAATCCAGCTAAATAGACTATATGTGGATATTTTTTTTGACCCATATTCTGGATCACTTCACTCTTGCATAAAAATTAGCAATAGTGGTATGTTCCAAAAGGAACTATTTGGAAGATTTTATCCTCCTTTCTTGAATAGTCGACCAGTTATTGCAGACCTGAAAATTAGTATTGTTCCTGCAAGAATTAGGGACCATCTGAAACACAGAAACAGGAAGATTGTTGTGCATAATGTCATTGTTTTAATTATTTCTGCTGTTGCTACATGAACCATACAACCTGACCTTTGAATTATATAATTTCCAGCTATTAACCCCACCTAGGATGGGAAAAGCTGCCAAACTTAGAAATACATTGTTTCAGAATACTGAATATTTGCTTCCATTATATTTTAAATGTCCTACTTGAAGTATTACCTAGCTTATGCACTGCTGATCTCCATTCAACCATCTGCTCCTAAATCCACTTTTCCTTTCTTCTTTTTAAAATGAGAACTCTCAGAAAACTGTATCCCTCTTATAAGTTGTCATGGTATGCAGAGGTCACTATATTTCACTACGGTGCACTCAAGTGTATTTTGTAATTCTAGTTAAATGGAATACTTATCCTGAACAGAAAGCAGAAAGGAACATATACAAAGAACGCAGAAGCACAGTCAAATAAATAAAAGAGCAAAATAGCTGTAACACAAAGCCTGTTGTAAATCACACAGCTATACATAATCGCCAGCAAAAATCAGGCTCTGCTGATTCTTTGCACTTTAGTTGGAAGTTAAAGAAAGAATTTGGGAATCCAAAGTTTCTGTTAATGACAACATTCTTATTGTTAGTTCTTCAAGGTAGTCCAGACAAAAAGCATTACAGAAGTGTCAGCATTATCTTTATTACAAGGTTATGTTAAATAGAACCTTGCAAGACTTGCAAGATTTCTGCCTTAGTCTCTTTTTATTCTTGGAAGAGTTCCTTCTGAAATGTTTCCCATACTTTCCTCCCACCTGGGGACTGCGCTTAGTGTGGCTTAGGCTGCATGTCTCCCTCCCTCCTGTCTACCAAGATCATTCCCACATAGCATTACACTTATGGGCATTATGCTATAGACTGTCAAGCCAAGTAGATCTAGATATTGTTATTCCAGAACAAATTATAGAATTTCCCAGGAGGAAGGCCATAGTAACAGTGAGAAACTTTACCTGGAATTTAGTTTGAAAACCACCTCTACCCAAAATATGAAGTTCCCCCATTTCCTCGGTGGACTTGCTGATTATTTAATTTTCCAGAAGTCTGAAGGACAAATAAGAGGATTGGGCCTCTAGATCAGGTCCTAACTAATAGGTAAAAGTTAATAGCAGACCTAAAAGCAATCAAAACTTTGAAGGAAAGTGGTCACATCTTTGAATACAAGATATGACAGAGAGAGTAATGTAATTAGACTGTATAGCCTATGAAATTGAAATGAAGAATGACTTACCAATTTCTGCCAATCCAAATGATCCATCCATTGCTAATAGTCTTCTAACATGACATTAATAGACAGTAGTGGCCAAAATTGCGAAAAGTGTATTTTCTAAAACTAGCCAATAACACCTTTCTTTTGGAGTAGTACCATAAAATTATATATCAATGGAAAGATAATTTAATCAGGAATGTAATGCAATAACTTTTATGAAGGATTTGTTGTTAGAATAGCAGTTACAGTATAAAGAAGAAAAGTGAAACACATAGAAAAGAACGAGATATACAAAAATTATCACCATAGAAAAAATGAGATATACAAAAAATATCACATCAGTTAATACTTAATTGGGTAACCTTTACCCAGCTAAGTATTAACTGATGTGATATTTTTTGCATGAATTATGCATTACAACATCTTCCCATGGAGTGAACCAAGTCTTTTAGTTCTGCAGCTATTATAATGTGAAACCAAGATTGAATGATTGCTTCTATTAACTGGGTTTTATTGCTGGGTTGCTTCTGACTAACAAGTTTCATTAGTCAGCTCCATAGATTTTCAATTGGGTTAGCTCTGGGCTATTCCCAGGCCATTCCAGCAGTGGAATATGATTATTTTGAAGCTCCCCAAAAAGTGGTGTTATTAGCCATCAAACCTCAAAAATACACTTTTCCCAAAAGGTTTCCACAATTTTGGCCACTACTGTAATTGGATATCACCAGATGTCCAATTATATTTATTTATAATTAAAACTGACTGTATCATAGGTATAACAGGGTGCAAGACTTTAGTTATAATAGCATAGAAGTCATCAGGGATTGACTGAGCAATAGATTATGAACAGTTCATGTGCAAGTTTCTAAGTTAAGCTAAAGCAAAAGCAAGCCAACTAGTTTCCACAATATTATCTTGAATATATACCCATCATTTTTAAAGAAAACATCAGGAATTGCTTTGAAATCCTAAACCTCATTGATTAGAAACCAGAAGAGTTGTGGAAAGTTCTTAAGCAGCTGTTAAGATAAATGTGAAAAGAGACAGTCAAAGAGAAGAAACAGAAAAAAGCTAACTGACAATAGAACAAGCTGTGGAAATTTCTAAGAAGAGAAGCCAAAGCCAAGAAAGAGCAAAATCTCCAAAAGAAACCCAAACCAAGTGCTTCAGAGAACTGTTTGAAGAAACGAGAAGCAGTACTGCAACATCTGTAAAGACATCAAAGATGAAAACAGACATGGAAAAACAAGAAAAAGTCTTTCAAAAGGTCTCTGAATTCAGAAGGAATCAAATTGCTATGGCAAATGAATTGAAAGCTATCCAACTGACAGGTAATTACTAATTCAAAAGAGATTCAGTGAAGATGGAAGGGGTATACTGAAATTCTGTACCTTAAAAGTTTATTCCCTACTTGCAAAAACCACTTGATGAAGTTAGATTAGCACCCAGTCATTACCAAGCAAGAAGACTACAGGAACTGATAAAAGACCCACTGATATAGAAGAAAAAACTTTAAAGGTTCTAACTAACAGAAGAAAAACCAGTCAAGGTTATAACCAATAGAAGAACCAGTAACAGTTCTAATGAAACCATGACAACAAATCTGGACAATGACAATGGCCAACAGTTTGGAAGATGTAAATCTACATACCAATATAAAAATAAAGGAGACGTAATAGAGTGTGCCAATTATCACACGATATCCTTTATTTTCCATGCTTTAAAAATAATTATTCAATACAGATGAATGGCTGGAAAAACTGATGGAACTAGTGGAAATGTTTATATGGACTGCTTTAATCAAAGAAAAGAACACATCAAACGTGTTGGAAACTGTTTCTGAATTTTGAGCTTGAAATGAAAAAAATGAAACTTTTTCCTTTGAGTTTTACTGATTAGGTAGGTTTGTTGTTATAGAAATAGCTAGCAAACATTATTAGGTAAAAGTAAAAAGTTGAGGCTGTTATCTTACATTACTGCACTAAAAAACGTCAATATTTTTTTTTCCCCTTTCTTTTTTCCCTTTCCCCTTACACTTTCTCCTCTTCCCTTTTTTCTCCTTTATTTTCCCATATATTTCCATTAAGTCCTTCGTTGGAAGAAGTAGTTGATCTTCAAACGTTTTGTAAGATCCACATGATAAGCCATTAGCGCTTTACCTATCTTAGCTCTTTTAAAAGAGTTGAATGAGCTAAAAGAGCTAAGAACTAAAATCTATTTTTTGAAATAACTATTCAAAAAGTACTTTCTTTTTGCAATCTTCTACTACAAATAGTCTTAGAGTTATGACTCTAATGGAGTCTGCCCATTAGGGTCAAAGTTTAGGACAATATTAAATGAATTGCCTCAAGTAACACTCAGCCATCCGTGTTCTTCCCAGTGCATTTGTTAAACAAATGCATGGGTTGTTAAGTGGGGGTGAGGAAAATCCTGGCAGGTCAAATGCAGGCACAAGCCCACGTGCCTCAGGCCTCCCCTACTCTAAAATATGTCATGCTTCCCACGCTTTGAGTGCCATGCATGCCAGTCTATGTCACAGCTGATTGTCATGCCAGTAAGAAACAATGGGGAAGATTGTTTTACTTGCATTTATAAATGTATTATGTGGTTTCTTAAATTAATAAATAAAAAAATTTTAAAAAAAGAAAGAAACAATGGGGAAGGAAAATGTTGGGTGTGCCTGCCTTTTTTAATTCCCAAAATTTTGGAACTTTCTGAGTGGAACAACTGTTTACACACACACACACACACACACACACACACACACACACACACCAATGGCCAGTGGGAGACTGCAAAGCTCTTGCCTGATTTTGAGAAGCTGGCCATTATATAAAAGGAAGCTTCAAGATGAGCTTCTTAAAACCTTTCCCTTACTTAACCCCCTACCTCCCCACTTCAGAAAGCCTCATTTTTTTTCAATAAAGGGATCCCACCCTCACCCCCACCCCTACCCCAATGCTAAAACTAAACTCACCTCTGCTGTCCAGTCTCTATCCCCTTTAAAAAACCTTATTTGTCTTGAAGCAGGCAAGAAAATAAAATATTTCTGGAACTTTTCCCCCTGAGCTTAAAAAAAAAATCATCTCTAAAAGTTGAGTGACAAAATAGAGGACACAAATTTAAGCTGTTTGACTGACTGACTGCCTGAAGAGCCACTTAGGACTTAAAGACTACACTGTAGACTGCCCTCTATAGCAGTGGTGGGATTCAAATAATTTAACAACCGGTTCTCTGTCCTAATGACCAGCTGGATAGGTATGTCTGGGTGGTCATGTGACCATGTGGGCATGGCCAACTCAATGTCACTCATGTCGATGGGCGCTTCACCTTAGCTGTTACAATGTAATAAGGGTTAACCAGAGAGGCAGTTTCTGTAAGCAGGGCAATAAAGATTAGGCTAGAAACAACACCAGAATGTTTCCTTCTTGCCTTCCTTACAGGATTAGCCTGTAAAGTGGATAAAAACAAAATAAGATTTCTTCCAACAACGGGTTCTCCGAACTGTTTAGAAAGTTAACAACCAGTTCTCCCGAATAGGTGCGAACTGGCTAAATCCCACCACTGCTCTATAGGCAATCTGACAGATAGTTAAAGCTTGCAGAGACTCAGCATCTTCCATTCTCTTCCACAATTTTCTAGTCAACTTAAGTTTGGGAGATGAAGTTTTTCTTTTCCTCTAGTGCTAAGGAAAAGGCTGCAGAAAGATTTTTCTCTCCTTGCTTACTTGGGCTGTCAACTCATGAGCTGTCCAAAGTGCAAGTGAGTGATCCCATGATTTCTCCTTTCTCTGGAGAGACTACATTAGCCAAAATTTACCATCTAACCACCAATCTTTGCTGCAATGTTATCCCCACTCCTTCAGAAACATCTAGTTTCCCCACAAATTCTTACCAGAAGCTTGAGGATTCCCAAACTGGTAACAAGCTCCTACTCCTAATCTCATTTTAGAGTTTGAGCAGAGCATTCTGGAGGAACTGGATTAAGTAAACCCATATCAGTCAGGTTTCTGATTTAGGCATGGGATGGAGAAACCGTTGGTCATTGTTGTCAATTACATTTGTTGAGACCTGAATGGAGATAGTGCAACTGTCTTGGTATTCTTACAGTTCTCAGCAATCTTCAGTACTACCAACTATAATATTTTTCTGAACCATGGTGGGGTGGAGGGAGGGTTAGAGATTGGTGACACTCTTTTGCGGTTGTTCCATTCCTTGTTCAGTAGATAGGTCCAGTCAGTAGTGGCAGGAGAGACTAAAAGTCTCCTTGTTTCAATGTGGAATGCCACAAGGTTCAGTCTCCCATTTAATGTGAGCTTGTTATGACCCATCCAAGGTCTCACAGCCCGCAAGCAGGTACAGGTTATTTCATACTACATTTCAGAATTAAGTTCAAAAACCTGAGTATCAACATGATAACATTTTTACCTACTGGCTTCATCACGTTGCTGTCAAAAGTTAGGATTCTATTGTGCATTAATTGCTCTAGAATGTGGCTTGACTTGTTTCTACTACGTAGCAATATCTTTTCTGCAGGGGGTCACTAATTTGCACATGCTTAATACTGCCAGAGAAGTAAGCTTTGTCTGCTAGGTTTTAAATGCAATTTCTCCATTCCTGCTGATTTATTTTCAGCATCTCTGCATAGTTTGTCACAAAGTGCACATTTGCATCTTCTTTCATTTATAGAGCACTAACAACACTTTCAAAACATTCTGGGAGGCTGTTGAACATTAATCCAATTAAAACTTCTTCAGGTAGTGTCACCCCTTGAACTTCTAGCTGGCCTGTTATCACTAGCATCTAATTAACATTCATAAAGCCTTCTTTCAGCCTCTTATTTCAGTACTCCATAACAAGATGCACTTTAGAGATGATCGAAATTGTCAGCATTTCTGCATCTTTTTTTCTATTTCCCTTATTCCTTAATTGAACCAAACCTGAATCGCTTATATTCAGGCAAATCATTTCAACTCTTTCTTTTTCAAAAGTTTTACCATAAGTTGTTTGTTCATCTTGTGGTTTTCACTCTGAATTTAGAAGATGTTCCTGACTCCATGACTTCTCCAAAGTATTCCTATTTCAAAGGACCATCACTCAAAATCAAGACCTTCCAGTTTCTCAATTGTTGAAATTTCTGCCTTATCTCCAAGCTGAATACAGCTTGGTTTCTCTTACAACTTTTCAAACAATGTGAATAACTCTCTTGTTGCACCAAACCATAACCTTGCAGGCAAGTGTTGATGTAACCCTGATTTGAATCCTTCCTTTCACTCACTGTGCATAAAATCAAGCCCATTAAGAGTATTTTGCTTAAATTTAAAAATGATTAGTTACATGTTCCAGTTTGAAAGTCTGTCATTTTAAAGTTAGTGTCTGTGCTGTACAACATTCCTATAAAAATGATTAACGATATTGCATCCAGTTTTGGTTGCCACATATAAAAAAGATGTTGAGACTCTAGAAAGAGTGTAGAGAACAGCAGCAAGGATGATTGGGAGACTGGAGGTTAAATACATATGAAGAACAGTTGCAGGAATTAAGTGTGCCTACAGTAGTGACCAAAATTGTGGAAACCTTTTGGGGAAAAGTGTATTTTTGAGGTTCGATGGCTAATAACACCACTTTTTTTTTTTTTTTTAGAGTTTCAAGATAATCATATTCCACTGCTGGAATGGCCTGGGAATAGCCCAGACCTAAACCCAATTGAAAATCTATGGAGCTGACTAAAGAAACTTGTTAGTCAGAAGCAACCCAGCAATAAAACCCAGTTAATAGAAGCAATCATTCAATCTTGCTTTCATATTATAACAGCTGCAGAACTAAAAGACTTGGTTCACTCCATGGGAAGACTTTATAAGGCTATAACGTCTGTTCGTCATAACGTATAACGTCATATTCATGCTAAAAGTTACCTAAGTATTAACTAACGTGATAATTTTTGTATATCTCATTTTTTCTATGGTGATCATTTTTGTATATCTCATTTTTTTCTATGTGTTTCACTTTTCTTCTTTGTACTGTAACTGCTATTCTAACAACAAATCCTTCATAAAAGTTATTGCATTACATTCCTGATTAAATTATCTTTCCATTGATATATAATTTTATGGTACTACTCCAAAAGAAAGTGGTGTTATTAGCTAGTTTTAAAAAATACACTTTTCCCAAAAGGTTTCCACAATTTTGGCCACTACTGTAAGTTTAATGAAAATAAGGCCTAGGGGTGACATGATAGCAATGTTCCAATATTTGAGGGGCTGCCAGAAGGAACAGGGGGTTAATCTATTCTCCAAAGTACCTGAAGGCAAGACAAAAAGCATTGGATGGAAACTAATCCAGGAGAGAATCAACCTAGAACTAAGGAGAAATTTCCTGACAGAACAATTAATCAGTGGAATGGCTTGTCTCCAGAAGTTGTGGGTGCTCCAATACTGGAGTTTTTAAGAAGAGGTTTGTTTGAAATAGAATAGA